GGGGGGGGGCTGCGGCAGAATTTGTGTTTTTTTCCTGGCGCGGGATTATTTCGGATATGACGCCAAATCACAGCCACACGAGATTTAGTGAAGATTTATGTGCTGATCCTCCGGTGAGTTTCCAGGAGGTGACAGGTGTCGATCAGCAGATTTTGGTCCAATCAGAAAACAGTTTGACACTCAATTATCTCCACTTTAATTTGTAGCTTTAGGAGCAGTTCTGGGATTCTTTTTATTCTGTTTTTGCTGAGTGCTGGCTGAGTGCTGAGTTCAACGCCGCTGGGAAATTCAATTATCGTGAAGGCAAACGATTTTGCATAAATCGTTTGTTATATTTTATTTTATTTAATTACTGCAGTCTGGCCTGGAAACTTTCTATAGTTTGTACATTTTCAAGTACAAAAAAAAATACTTAATGCATGATGTTAAATCAAAATCATTTGGATTTGAACATATTACAGAATTAATCAGTGAAGCTAATTATAAATACTGGATAACCCATCTAATGTATTGCCTGATTTGGATTTCAACTACACAGGCTTTTTTTGTAAAGTAATTTCCTTTAAGAACGGAAAAAAAAAAAACGAAAACTACCCAGCAGGACTATAAATAATTCCTGAGCCCAGAAGGAAACACATTTTTTGAAGGGAAACTTTTTTTTTCTGTCACTTTTTCATTCCGCTGAATTTGGCGCAGCCTCAATATCTAAAATATGATTATCCCAGTAATATTACTGTACTGTAAACTATACCGGCTGTTGTTGACGTTTCTTGTAGAACATTATTGAATTTACTGAATCTACCTCAAAATTAATGTCACTGTCCGCTCTGAGGAGACGAACACTAGACTGAATGTTGAGCTGACGCACAGCTTTCACTCCGACATGTAAAACACTAAAACTAAAACGGATTAAAGGTTTATTACTGTGCGAAATGTTGATGCAAATGTACATTGGATGTGAAGTTATATATAGTTCCGTAAATAAATGAATTATTTTAAGACACTCCAGCTGTTGTGAAGGTGTGTTTTTTTTCTTTTCTTATTTAACTGTCTCATTATTCAGCTAATAATCCATGTCTTATTAAACATACATTATTCCCCCCAATACAAGTTTCCATTGTCTTGCTTTTGTTACCTGTGTTTTTGGGAGAGTGACGGTAATAATCAATGGAGGAGGATCGGCCTCATGTAAATATAGTAAGAATTTAAATAGGAGTTCATTCTAAATAAAGTTTATTTTTCAGTTTGAAGTTAATCTCAGAATATAAGGTCATTTCCTTACAATAACTCCCGAGTCAGAATGCGGATTATTTTCTATTTTTTTTACATATTTACATACATACATTTACATTTTTTCAAAGTACTTTTGAAACTATATATTTAGATTTCTAACTTTACACAATTCGAATAATAGAGTTGAATTTTAATTTAAAATCGATGTGAGGACTGTTATTTTCCCAGTGTCCCAGTCAGGCTGTGTAGGCTATAGAATAAAGAACTGCTTCAGAAAATCAGAAAACATAATAAACAAATATGAATCCTAAATAAAAGTCCTGATTTAATACAAACATTTATAATCCTCCGATTAGCTAGTGCATGTAACATTTTATTCTGTGTAGTGATTACCACACTACACACTAAAAAATATATTTTTAATTAGATTAGAGACCAGTGGGCTGCAGTGTTCTGCTAGTCTGTTAATAACCAACACAATAACTATGGTTAGTGACGGAGAACAGTGAAAAAGGGACATCTCACTGGAATAAATGCAAAAATGGTACCTTCTACTGTCCGATGGTACTATCCAAGGTAGGGGCATGTTTAGTATATATTAGAGTGGCTAGACGCAGAAGATTCCAGACGGATCTTTGATATGATATGATATACAAATCTCGATAGAGATCCATAAACTTGAATACCACTGGATCTTACCAGAAACAGCTCCTTTTGGTCTACTCTTATAAAATGTTTTGACGCTGCTGCTAATTCTATGTAGTTTGTTTTCCTCGGAAAGTATCCAGGTGTTTTAAATGCACTCTTTCCAACTAATATGAGGACCAACAGTGACACCTAGTGTCCGAGGACGGTTACTGCAAGAACAGAGCCAGAAGAGACTAATCTTTTCCTAAAAATACACATCCAGCACAACTGCATTGTCATTCATCCTTAACTCTCATTATTTTGCATATATGTTCATGTATACAGCGTTAAAACAGCTGAAAATAACCCAGACAAGTTGAACAAACAAGATGAGACTGTTGCTTTTCCTGTACAATACATTTATTATCATTAGGAGCAATAAGCAGCCATATTTAAATATGTTTTTTCTAATACAACAATTAGGTTAATGTGGCCTGGCCTATACGTTAATAAAGTTGGATGTTATCTACATGACACTAACAAACCTACAAGCAAAATTGAAATTATGACAAAAAAAAACAGTGTGGTGGACAAATTAAATAACAATGATGTAACAGAAGAGGCAAGAGTTTAAAAAAATCCTAACAGGAACGCCAAACATGGTGTACGGATTCTATGGTTAAAAAAAAAAAAATAACAGCGTGAGTGGAAGAGTTGTAGTTTGAGGATGCAAAAATCTAGTTGTCCAGGTTTCAGCAGTGCATTAAGAATTTAAATAAACTTGCAGATTTTCAGTCATGTTGACTGCAATGTTTCATATTAACTGGGGTCACTGGTGATTATTGGTCGCTTCCCAACACAGCTTGTGGCTTATTGAAACACAAGACCCAATTCAACAAATAATGAAGATCTTCAATTCTGACATCTCTGCTTCCTATCATCACAAACTGAAAACCGATGAGGTTCCGGACAGTGAAATGTATAAAATGACTGAAGTTTTGCCCAAAGCAAACAATTAATGGAATACTTGGACATATAAATAATTGCCAAAATGCAGAGTCACTGCAATGTAAATCATTTAAGAAGGTAAGATGGTCATAAAGTGAATCTGAGCGTAAAGAAATACCAACAAAATGAACCCAGTTATGGTGTGATGCCACTTTTGGTCCCAAATTTGATTCACGTTGAACCTTTGCAGACATTCTGGGGACATGTACGTCAACCAGCAGGATTATTTCAACTGGACATAAAAATGTAAAAAACTCTTCAAGACTTCGTTAACCAACTTTCACTAAAATTTTGATCTTTACTGGTCGATATGGAAGGAAGTCATCCATATCCATGTTGTTTAATTTATTTGTACGGCTTTAGTCATCTGGCCAACTTGTCAACTCAGCTTCTTATCAAGAGTTGTTCAATTTAAACACTGCTCTTAAATATTAAAACTGACGCTAATAATTACTCTTACACCCCTATCGCACACACAAATCCCACTTCAGGTGGAATCAAATATGGAGAAATCAAAATCATATGCAGACAGACACAATCTTTATACAACTTAAGGCTGAACTAAACAGACGGGGAGAAAACCAGGTTACAAAGAAAAAAAAAAACAATGAAATCAGCTACCAACACCTGCAATGGACAGAGAAAATAGATCAGTATGTGTGTGTGTTCATACATACATAAAACAGCTAGCGAGGAGGAGAAGAGTGGGGCATAGCCAAATGCTACATCATTCACCAACATCCACGTTTAAACGCATCCCGTCCAGTTGGAAAGGGGCGACTAAAAGATTACAGGACTGAGATCAGCTTGTTTTTTCATTTAGGATGAAGAGTTTATGTGAATTTCGTGCCACTAAAAAGGAGCGAACTGACCCTGAGTCCTGATATGCTTGATGTAACTTCAGTGAAGGCGGCGCCCATTTCCAACGATTCATTCATTCACAATAAAAAAAACCAACAAAAAAAAATCCCACTCAACATCATTCTGTTCCCACACGCTCTCCTGTTTGGCACAAGCACTCCTCGCGGTGAACGTGTTAACAGTCAAATCGGCAAAGAAAGAAAAAAAAATAAAAAAATTTACCCCAAATTACCGAAAACGTGTGTTCGTATTTTTACTCTTAAGGCAGCTATATTGTACATTGCATTCAACCAAGTTACTTAAGATCGGACGCTGTTCTTTTGTACATATTGACAAGTTACATTACAGCATGACGACATAAAACCCTGCGGAGTGAGTCCTGGTCCTCGACAGTCTTTAGGGACCTGGATTTTTGCGGAGGAGAGAAAGTGGATTGGAGGAGGATCGACTGTTGTGACGACATGCGCGGACAGGCGTTTTTTTTTATGTGAAGACGGCAAAATGAGCTAAAGTGAACTCATCCCGCCACGAGTTCTCCTCCATTTCAGTTAACTGTCCTCTATAAAAAGGACGACAAGTGTTTGTGTTCTGGTCTCACAGAGGAGTGGGACGGTGACAGGGTTGCAGGAGGAGCTGGTTATAGCTGTTGCTGCTGTTAGTGGTGTCCAGGTTTTGAGAATTGCCGTTGTTGTTGTTGTTGTTTGTCACTGTGGTTGTCGATTACTGATTTTTGTTGGGAGCTGCTGTGGTTGTTGTTTGGGAAGTTTAGTCCAGCGGTTTGCCGCCGTCACCTTTCTGGTCCAAGCGGCTCTTGCTGCTCTTCACCATGTAAATAAAGTAGGTCAGCGTCTCCTTCTCGTTCACCGGTATATTCCTGAAGTGACGACTCACCGTCTACAGAGGAGGAGGAGGAGGAAGAAGAGACGGTAAACAGGTTAAAAGGAAAAAACTTACAGTGTACATCTCACATTTAAATTTAAGCAGCTTTAAAATACTTAATGTTTTTGAAACACTGTGTGAGACGTTTTATCATGACTCAAATGAAGTCTAACTAAGAAAGAAAAGAAACATCCTTTAAGCAGCCCATCTCCGCTCTGCAGCCACGGGTCCTCCTGAACGGGGCTGAGCACAGTGACAGCTGCAACTGGTTGCGGGCTGTTGACTGGTGCTTTATTAATGATGTGGGGGGCTCATTAGGGCCTGAACCTGACTAAAAGCCTGGGGAAACATTCAACTTACGGCCCAGTCTTCATTCATTCATTCCCACTGTTAGTGGTCACATCCGACCCCGCCGCCCTCGCCGCGGAGCGCTACATACAGGAGGTGTTTGTCGGAGTGAGGGCCGAGCCAGCTGCATGAAGTCCACCTGTCGATTTGTCGAATTAGCCTAACAATCTCTCCATGGCCAATTACTGTGGAATAGGACCTGCGACACCGCGTATATCACGGTAAATGAGTAATACGGAGCCGAGGGTTGGGGGAGAGAGAGGCCGGGCTCGCCTAATGAGGGCAGCTCAGTGGCCTTCAGTGTAACACAGTATAAACGACGATTATTCCAAAGGGAAAAGAGGGATCAAAGAAAAAGTAACAACAGTTTCCTCCCAGGATTCTGTTTAAAAGTTGTGAAATTAAGTTTCTGTCAAAGGGAGATCAATGGTATTTGCAGCGAGTTGAAACTTGCAACAACGAAAAAACCTGACCAGATTTACACCAATAGGACACCGCAGTGTATCGATTACCAAGCGACAACCACTGAATAATACGTTTTTTTTCGTAGCTGGTATAATGACGGCCTAATGGATGAAGGAATTCTACGTAAAACAGAACTGCACTACGAACAAATCATCTTAGGCAATATATATGCGCTCACCACGCCGACGACATGATGCCCACGGCACAGGATCCGGGGTGCACACCACTCAATCAATACTGATATAGCATCATAATAGACGATTTTATAACACTTACAATATGCCAGTTAAACAATGATTATATGCATTTATTTTGACTAATATATGTACTGCCAAGTAATTTCAAATACCATTCACACACCACAGTCAATTTTGATAGCTTTTGGTCTTTGTTGTTATTTGATAACCGCTAATAAATAAAACATTTAATAAAACAAGTAATTCGGCACCACTTTAGGTATCAATCATTTCTATGGGCTGTGCTGTTTTTTGGGTGACTTTATAAGCACACACTGCTGACAACTTGAGTCAACAGACAGTGAGAGGGGAACAGAAAGAGGCGGGGCAGAGCAAGCTGGTGTGTACGCAGAGCAGTGCAGAGATAGAGGTGTTAGTGTGTGTGAGTGTGTGTGTGTGTGTGTGTGTGTGTGTGGAGGGAAAGAGGAGCAGCAGAGTGAGCAGATTAAAGTAGCACGTGAGTAAACATGAGAAAAACGCTTGCTTTGCATCCCTATCTCTTAACCCCTTCAGAGTGCATGGCTGGTCCCCATATGAACTCCAAACCAGAAACTATGCCACAGAAAACCACCTTCTGACCTAAAGTAAGGCTCCTGAAATCATTCCTGCAGTGGAAATGGGCGAGTGCACTGTATTGACATGGTTTCATGGTCAATGCTGAACCAATCAAGGTATTACAGAATAGCGGGGTATTGGGGAAATCCCAAATTATTAATAGCATCAACAACACAAACGCTGCTCTCTCTGAAGGTATCCTGTTGTCTGTCAGGTTGTTTGTTTTCTGTGCGCTCAGTTCAGATTTGAGTGCATATGTTTGCTCCAACGATGAAAAATGATCATGCAAGTCTGTTCACTCTGGATTCAAAGCTCTTTTTGCCATCGGCGTTTCTCTTTCTAAAGCCTGCCGCGTGAAATCACTTTTCTCTGACTCGCTTATTTCTCAGACCGTCACTCGCCTCGTGTGCCCTGTGATTCTGGGCCACTACACTGGCGCCGCAAGGTCTACGAGAACACAGACACCCAACATGTAGAGGACAGCATCATCGCATTCATTTGATATCTTTACCTCTGCCAGCTGGGCCTTGTTGAGTCCGGGCCTGGTCTGCAGTTTGTAGTGTCGCTTGTAGCGTCTCAACGTGTTCACCTGCAGCTGGAAAAGATCGACCTGTAAAAAAATAAATAAATCAGAAGCAGGGATGTGGTCAGCCAGTGAATTATGAGAGACGCCAAAACTTCATCCCGTCTCTATCTTGGGCACATTTCAGTGGTTTACTTAAGACTCCCACAGGCGTCTGCCTCTTTTCCTGCTTTTCAAGGAGATGAAACTTTAATGATCTCCGTGGAGAAATTGGGTCATTGCAGCAATAAACACTACAAAGCACACAAGCACAAGATAAATATGCATTTCTCAAAAAATATACTTTATGTAATACACTGTTAATGGTGGTTTGTAGTTGACGTTTTTAAGGCTTCCTGTGCGTCGTGTTTACTTTGGTTCCTCTGTAAAACTAGAAGTGCTTCAGTGTCACGTCTGTGCTGAACATTGAGTAACATTACCTCAGGCACCTCCACGTCATGGTCCGGGGACTCTCCTCCGTCGTCACTGGTCTTCCTCTTCCTCTTGTTGCGGACGCTCTGGATGAAGTTCTTATGGAAGTCGCAGATGTAGAGGTGTCGCACCTGCAAAGATATAAATGAGTATTGAAAAGGAGTAGTGTACGTACAAAACGTTTAGTTGAGCAGTCACACAGCTCTAGTGTAGGATGATACAGCATTTCTCGCAGACCGGACTGGCTTTGGTTAGTGGTTTCATTATTAAAAGCTTCAGTAATGATAGCAAAACAGTACTCCTTTTCAAAACCTTACTCGGAGGAATATAAAACCTTTTTTTTTTTTTTTTACCCTTTAACAAAACCAGACTTCAGTAGTGTTTAAATTCAAAGTATAATCAAACACAGCAATGTTGTCTTAACACAAGCAGCCGTACAAGAGCTTTGCCAAGATAAACTAGTATAAAACTGCCAAAGTTATGACTTAAAACAGGAAATATCAAACTCTGCGCACCTCATTCAGTGCTGCAGATGAGTGAGACTCCAACTACAGGCTGTCTGTAACGTCAATGCTTCACATTAATCTGTCCTTCAGCAACTTGTGCAATATATATTATCTATGGGGTTTTTTATATAAAAGTTTCTACATATCTATTTTTTCAACTGTACATACTGCCTCTCCTCTATTCCTGCTGTGTCATTGTAACGTAATTTCATTTTGATGCGAATCCAAATGAGAAATAACGTCTAAGTCATTCATTCCTCTGGGCCACACTCACGACATGTGACTCGTCATGAGTGCCAGCGTGCCTGCAAAGACTTGTGGGCAAACAGCAGACACACACTGAAGACAGCTGAGCTCCTTCCTCTGGCTGCAACAAGTCACACAAAGCTTTTCAGGAACCTAAGCTCAGATAAAAGGGCCCTGGACACAATGAGGACCAGAAAGCAGAGCGCTGAGTGGCTTAGAGCAGCAACAGCACGTTCGTTAAGACACCGCGCATTCACCAAAGACGCTGCTGTGTGCTGGAGGCCCCTGCGGACCCCCTGGTTCCTCCAACTCTTTGTGCATTGTGTATGCATCCTGTTAGCCCCGAGTACTCATCAGGTGCAGGGAACAGAGCGGATTACACATGGCAGGAATATCGCCCTGCCCCCAAGGTTGGCTGTGTCGCTGTCCTGAGTTAAAGACAAATGCACAATGTGAAAGATAAATTACAGTTTAAGTAGATCCTGACACAGTAGTGGTAGATTTTGTGTTTTGTATTGTTAGATCTAGCTTGTGACAATTTGCTTGTATCACTGTGCGTTTATCTGCTGGGGTTTTGCTCTAATAGCCAAACAAAACAGGAGGAGATGTCTCTACTCGTCCTCCACTCCTGCTGCATATTCCCAGGTCACTTTACTATAAGTCAAATGACTACACAGAAAAAGCTAAGGACTGAGGTCTGTGGGGGTCCGGGGCCCGGGGCCGGCTCCTTGTGTTGTGGCAGAACATCTACGGCCTTCACACTGTAACCAGGCCGGTCCAAACGCATAAATACCATTTAAAAACAGCATGTAATGAAGAAGCTTTGACACAAAGTGCAAACTAAAGACGAAACTAAACTACCACCAGAAATATAGCTCAGTGTACACAGTGTAACTTTAACTTGTGTAGTAAACTGTGTGTGTGTAGTTTTTAAAGCCACTTCTGAATGAGGTCGTGTACTTTCAGTGGGACTGAGGTTAAGACACACAGCCATTTTATGTGAGAGCAGTGGAGGCGTGTTGAACGAAACTGTTTGCAGTGAGAGAAAAGCTGCGAGTGGAAGTGGACAGGACCGTGTCGTGTAGTAGCTGACACTTCTACCTCTGTCCCGACACTGAAACCAGACACCGCCACCACTCCGCCTCGGTAATAAAACCCCAAAAACAACAAGAAGCTGCGAGTCTTCTTCGACTGACGCTAACCGGCTAACTCGCGTTAGCTGACAGCTGTGGAGTGAAGTTTCCCCTCCTCCCTCTCTCTCTCTCTCCACAACAAGAGCTGCAACTTCTCAACACAACAGCAGCAACTTCGTCGCGTCAACTCACGCTCTTGTCGATGTCCAGCTTGAGCTTCTTCTGCGATATGCTCTTCTGGATCCTCTTGCTGAAGGAGGCGTTTCCAGCTGACCGGCCGCAGCGCTCCCCGTCCTCGATCAGACAGCAGCTCTGTCCGTAAAACGGCGGAGCAGGCGGTCCGTCGTGGCTGTCCTCCTCTGTGCTGAACCCATTCATTGTGCACGACTTGGAAGTGCTCTCAAAACAATAAAACAGTCAGTAAAAAAACAAAAACAAAAAAAAAAACAGGGGGATAGCTACCGAGTCTCCTGTTCACGCGTTGCCCCCTTTTTTTGTGAAAGACAATCCGGTAGCTGTGGCTAACGAGCTCGCTCGGCTAAGTGGCTAGTTCGCGAGATAACTCGGTGCTTTTTATCCCGACTCCGGTGATTTATTTCGCAACGCCTCGACCTCTAGTTAAAGACATATTTCTACGGGTCTTCGGCAGATTCACAGCACAGCACAGCAGCTGTTCGCGTTAACTAGCTCCGGTGCTATCAGGGGTCCGCACGGTGGCTTCAGCTGCCGCTAACGCACAAATTCCTATGGTCTTCCTAACAACCGGCTGCTTTTCGGTATGATTCGCGTATTAAAACGATTTCATGCGACGCCGAGCTAAACGGCGACAGTCGGTTTCAACAGATGACACAACTTTTTCCAAGAAAAATCACGTATTTACCAGCCTGCACCTCAACAATCGCGGTACTCGTTCAGAACACCTCGTACAATGGACATGCTCCGTCTATGTGGCGGAAGTACCCGTCCCGGCCACTGATTGGCCAGTTTTTCAGGGAGGCGGGCCTAGCGTGCAAACCTCGCCACGCCATTGGCTGTGAGAGGCATCCATTTTCTAGCGGCTCTTCCTGAATCACTCGGCGTCATGTTTTTCTACTATGAATAGGAGTTAAAAGGTGGACTTTTAAATACACAGCAGAACATTTAGGGTTGTATGTCTGCGATTAGAATCAGCTTTCGTAATAAATAAGTTATAATTATTCACCTCGACCACCCGTTAAACACATCTAAATGCACATGGATGATCTACAAAGTGTTGTTATTGCACTGTGGTTCCTTGGGCCAGACTGATGAGTCCACAGATGCATTGTTAATATGTTATGCAATATTATTATTTTAACGACTCCCACATCACATCTTTATTGAATTGGCTCGTATTCGTCCTTCCGGGATGCTGATAAACAGAAGTCAACATGAATGACCGCAGATCTGTTGACATCGCCACGCTGTGATTCCACCTTTAGCCGCACGGGGGAGACATAAGTCAACAAATGAATATAAATCTGTATATAAATCTGTACGGCTGACACTGAAATTCCTTCACATACCTATTGTCAGTCAAACTTTTTAATTGCTTTACATCTCAAGTGTCTCACTGTGATTTGAAGGGGTATTGGCACTCCCATAAAGTTAAGGGCCCCAAGAAAGAGACAGATAAAGGAGCCCTCAATTGATTTTACACATAAAGTTTAGTTTACTTCTTCTGGAGAGTCAAAACAGTTGTAGAGTCCTAAAATGTCAGTAGATTTATGTGTTTAGACATTTATTCCTTCAGAAATTGACTGGTTCAAAGTATTAGAAGTATTAGTTACATGTATTGAAGCATCAAAAGTAAAACTAGTCATTGTGCAGTAGAAAGGCCCCTGTCAATGTTATATTATTATACAGTATGCACATTATTATTATCTTTATATACATTTACTATACATGGATTATTGTTACTAACTCAGAATTGTAATCTCCAAAGTAACTATATCTGTCAAACAAATGTAGTGGAGTAAAAAGTACAATTTGCCTCTAAAATGTTAATTCAAAGTTGAATGTAAAGTTTTAGAAAATGGAAATACTGGAGTAGGAATACTTTAAAATTGTACTACTAAAAAGTGTACTACCTAAGTAAATTAACTTCCCACCACTGGACGCCTTATAACATGAATGTTTTGGTGATGAAATACCTTTGTTTATTCAAGTTGATCACAAAGTTGCAAATGTGTAGAGCAAGATTGGAGCCTAATCCATGAAATTTTAGACTAGACTATTATAGATTGCTTCCAAATTTGGTACAACAGTTTAGGGAAGGCCCTTTGCAATTTTGTTATGACTATACCCCTGTGTGTAATGCCATGTCCACAAAGACATGCTTTTCCCCGTGTGGAATAATGTGACAGGCCTGCACAGAGCCCTGACCTCAACCTCATACTTTGGGTGTGTGAATGCCAGGCTTTATTGTTCAACATCCGTGTTGGACCACACTAATGCTCTTCTGGCTGAATGGGAGAAAATCCCTGATGCCAGGTTCTGAAATCTTGTGGAAAGACTGAAACCAGACGAGTGGAGGCTGCTATAGCAGACTGGACTGGCCACATTATAAATAGTGAGAGTTCATTTATTTGAGGATGCAGCCAGTCAGCAAACCCAGAGAGCCAGAGAGAGCTTTAAAAGCCTACTTAAATGTGAAGGCGTCTGTATTATGTGGGTATACTAATGATGCTCTTTGTTTGTTGTCATTTGTCTAATGTGGTATTTGCTCTCATCTGAAAACTCTGCCTCATCGTGCTCGCCTAATAGCTGAGAGAGGACGAGGATGTAATTCAGAAGGGAGGGAAAGATGGAGAGAGAGGACACCATAAAAAAATATTAAAGGAGTAAAGACAATTGGATTACCTTTTTTGTTGGTAATGGTCCTGGGCCCAATAAAGACCCTTTAATGGATATCTGTGACAGGAGACAGTGGAACTGTAATAGCCTGGTGTCTCTCCTCACCCATGTATGGCTCATGAGTGGAGGAGAATACTGATTGTATGCTGACTGATTGACTTTAAAAGTGGCAGATGATGGAGTGCTGAAACATTAACAGGTTTTTCACTTCGCAATTTAGAGGTTTATATCATCAGGGAAATGCCTTCAAGAGGCAATAACATGTAAAGTGGTCTCTCAATGTATTCAAAGTTGTCCCTGCACCTCTCTCTCCCCCTCTCAGAGCTGGTGTGACAAGTTGAGCATTATATGGCATCCCATGAGACTCAAGGAAATGGGCCACGCTGTAGAACAATATTACTTCAGCCATGAATAAATCACTGCTGGCTAAAAGCTATTCGAGCTTGTGTGTTGTCAGATGAAATGATTATGAGATTAACATTTAGTAAAAGTGTGTTTTAGCACCATCAGTCACAGAGATGATTAAAGTCATAAAAAAAAGAAAGAAAAAACACAGGAGGTGACAAGAGAGGCAGCTCTGGGCAAGAAAAGTTCCCAAGGAATTTATTTAGAGAGGAAATGATTATGGTTTGAATAAGCCACCTCTCCTTGAGTTGAGATATAAAGAAGGGATTAAAAAATGTCAATCAATTTTTCACTTCATGTTGTTCTATCAACCAAATCCATTCAGGTTGGAGTGCAGTGGGAAGCAGATAAAACACTGACATGCAGAGTAAAAAAATGCTTCTTTCTGGGGGAACGTTCAAGACAAGGAAACTTTTTGTTTTGGAAGGCATTCTCCTTTTTATGCTATCAGACTACACGAGAGGCCTTGGTCAACTGTATTTTTTATCAGAGAACATCATAGCCTGACCACACTCCACTGGATAATTTGAAACATTAATTGATACACTTAATGGGGTATTTTACTGCTGGAAAGATGGTCTTTTCATAAAACCGGGTTATAAAAAGATGCAAATATTTTTGAAATTGGTGCTACTTGACCAGAGAAAACAGATAAAATGGGATGTGATATCTTCTTTTGCTCAAAAGGTAGAACACCTACAACAACCAGAATGCACTGGGCTGTTTGATTCCCTGCGTCATCAGGTAGACTTTTGCCGGCACATGAGCAGTGAGTTCTGCACCATGAGTGGAAACAGTGGGTGCAGGCAACAAGCTCATTTGCATATACTTGTTCATTTGCATACTACCCACATTGTAATGATACAACGCTGGTTGAGAAGTAAAGTTGTCAAGTACTCCAAACACCCTGGTGTCCCCCAGGGGTCTATTCTTGGTCCCCCATTAACTGTAGTATACATGCTACCCCTGGGGCAAATCTTGCATAAACATTATATCGTAATATTCATTGCCTCATGGATGTCCCATTAAAGCCTGGTACCACTCATTGTTCTGTTTTGCTGGAATTGGGGATGGATGTCTATTCAATCAAGTCATTCCTTTCATCTGCAGATCTAGAAAAGGTCATCCATGTATTTATCTCCTCCAGACCTGACTATATCAGGTGAAACATCCTAAACATCCACAGCAGTTTATACAAAATGCTTCTCTTTAACAAGAGAGGCAACCACATCACACCAATCCTTGATGCCCTTCACTGGTTCTATTTATTTATCTTTTATTTTAAGATTTTATTGCTTGTTTTTAAAGCCTTGAATTGTCAGGCTCCAGTTTATATCTGTAATCTGCTAACTTCCTGAGCCTGATCACTGCTTCAGACCCTCCGGCAGGGCCCTATAACTAATGGTTCCGAAATCTCGACTTGTCACTAAAGGTGACCGAGCCTCAGCTATGGAACTCCCTGCATGGAGATCTCAGGCAGACTCTCTATCTTATGGCTTTTCTTAACTTATGGTTGTAATTATGTGAATAGTTTTTATTATTATTTTGTTTTTGTTTTTTTACTGCACTTTGTATCTTTGTTTTGAAAGGTGCTATGTAAATAAAGTTAGAACTTTAAAAGCCACCCAGTCACATTGTCTTCCACAATTTTTTCCCCCTCTTTAGCAGATGTGACACAGCACTTTATAAATATGGCCCTAAAAAGCACCTGCTTCTCCAGCGGAGTGGATGTGACTGAAAGCCAATTATCCTGCCTGTCACAGAGGGGAATGGAAAATTTCCACCACTGTCTCGTTTTCTGACACTCTGTGGAACGTGAAAGGACAAACAGGTCCGCTGTGTGGAGACTATTTCTAGGTGGGGGTTTGATAAGCTGTCTGAACACCATGACACGGCCTTCATAAAAGACTGTAACACAATGTGAATCTGCTTTACCTCTGAGCGCAGGTCTGCTGGCTTTGACAGATTATGGAAGAGTCACTTTGGTGGAGCTGTTTGCCTTATGAAACAATAAACAGGAAAGAACTGAACGATCACAAACAAATGAAGTTTTTCATTATTGACAAATTATTTGTCAGGGTTTGGTCTTGGATTTAGAAACTTTATTAGGGAAAGTGTAATACAACTGGAAAGTCCATACACTTGTTCGTTTAATTTTTTAATTATTTGAACAAGAAATATTAGGTGTCATAACGAGAAAGTTTTAAGCAATCAAACATAAAAGTTTGATAAATAATTTCTATACTGAGCTGACACAACTAGCTGACTGTAAAGTTGAGTAAACTCTAAAAAGCTTTGCAGCTGGTTGCCTTATTTCCTCTAACAGTGAAGCATACTGCAATCACATTTAGCTAATTTTTGTGACTAAAGTTAGAAACTTGGTCAGCTGTGCAGAGAGATTGTAGATTGCAGAGAAATTATAGATAACACATGTTTTTCCCTTTGGTTCTTACTACATATTACTGTTTTGAATGCCTTTTCTGTCTTTTATTATTTAGTGTTTAATTATACTATACTTACTGAAAGATACAGACTGACAAACAAAGCGAGAGCGACTTCCACCCTCAGAAAAGCTTGAAATAATGATAAACATCCTTTGTGAATGCTAATAGCAGTGAAATATAAGCAGATGGATGAAAAGCGGAGAGAAAACTGCCAACATT